CCTTGAAACTGTTGATTCCATAATCAAAGCTACTATTTGTTTGCATAATCTGTTGATGGATACAACACAATATTGTGCAGAAACTTATGCTGACACACAGTCTGCAAACGGACAAATAATTGATGGAGAGTGGAGAACAATTATAGATGAACGTACAAATTTCAGAAGTTTGTCCAATTGTGGCAGTAATAATCATGCAAGAAACGCAAGTGACATTCGAAATACTTTTGCAGATTACTTTATAAACGAAGGTCAGGTTCCTTGGCAAGAACTAATGATATAAATTGTTTCAAAATTTATTACTATTATTTTCAACATAATATTTCATAGAATATAGAGATTTACTTATTATATTATTAATTTATTATATTAATCACTTTTATTCATACAGTTATTGATAAAACGCAAACTTATAATTTATATTGCGTTTTATAGGTGTTAGGTTTAATGAAAATTTTGAAATATATATATATATATATATACACATATATATGTATATAACTTCAATTGTGATTTGGAAATCAAATCAAATCGTGCTCACATGCGATGTAGTATAAAAAAGCTCTATGAAAATTATTATAATAGTCTCTGTCAAATCTCTATCGTTGTATTCCATGTTCTTATTAGTAGTATTATTATTCTCTATAATATATTCTGTACTATCATCGTAATCATAGAGATATGCTCTTCTTCACATACACTACACTTGCAGATATTGCACTGTAAAGAAGATATATAATATTATGCTATAAATTTACACCATAACGATTTGATTTAACCCTCAGTGTACGATCTATAAAAAAGGTACAATTTTCAAAATCGTATAACTTGAGTACCAAGCGTAGACTGACGCTGCCCTTTGGCACTCACATAGTAGCTACCTCAAAGATTCCCCCCCCCCCCGGTACGGACCCCCACCATTCACTTCCTTTGAAATGGCGCCGCTACTTTCAAAATTCGCTCGGGTTACGCTAACCCAGATCGTACACTGAGGGTTAATTTCCAAGTCACAATTGAAGTTGATTTCCAAAGTACAATTGGTCGATTCTAATGCTCTTATGCAATCACGAATGTATCGTATGCCGCAGGTTTAACATTGTCATAAACATAATTAAATATAACATACAAAAAAGTACAAAGAAACTGGATTAATTTTATTATTATCTTATAGTGTGCTTTATAATAATTTGTAATACTGTATTCTTATAAAGTTATACATATATTGCGTATATTATGTATATTATATAATAAAGCATGTATTAAAGAGATATAACATTTTAAAAATTTTTATATATCTTGTTCTAATAACAAATTAAAAATTTGTTTCATTACAAGTTTTGAAACCTCTGGAGTCATTCCCCGAAGACATGCCTCTATATATTTGACAAAACTTTCAATCTTATCAGGTTTTGATTGATACTGTTCTTTTGTGGGTCGAGTTTGTTTCAATTCTGTCAAAAGTGCTTCTTCCAGACAAGGGTTGGCAGGTATATTTGACTTCTCTGTAAAAATTAGGACAAAACTTAATGTAATTACAGTGCCTTCATAAAAACATTTCTAACATTTTATACAAACTCATATGTTTTGTAGACTTGGGTGATTGAAGATCCTCGGACTGTGACATGAGTCTTTTATTATCTGTGGAAAGAAGCAGTTATATATAAGAATATGCGTGTAATGTTACGGAATACAACAAAAAAATTACGTACTGTTGCGATTTGATCCTTCCGAAGCCACTTCGTTGATTCTTGATGACTCTACAGGTGTCTTACCTATAGGTGAAGAAATAAAATGTATAAAATAAAGAACTGCAGAGGGGTGAAAGAGAGGGAGGGAAGGGAGAAACGGGTAAATGTAAAAATATTAGAAAATACTACATTTAAAGAAACTGGATTAATGATAAATATATCTGTTCATAACAAAGAGTTTGCTTACATTCACTTGACCGTGGTCTTAGTGTGCTTTGTTGCGATAAATTTTTATCTATCATATTTTCGGGATTATTGTTACTTCTGTAACTTGTTTGTAGCGATAAGTCTTGTTCTCGTGAGTAACTAGTATTAGGAGTCGAATCTTGTATTGAAGACATTGATTGTCTATTTGGGTTCACGTTTTCCAGATTACTTTTAGTCCTATAACGAATAACATTTTTAATTAAAATTTTATATTACCTGGTTATGTGTTTAAATTTTATGTTTATGTATACTTCAATGTTATATGTTATTATTGTATTTTATTGTATGTATATAATGTATTTTATGTTATTATATGTTTTTATATATGTGTGATTATATTATATTAAATACATTTATGCATATATATTGATTACGTATATATTTAAAAAGTCACTACATATATTACTACTTACTTCCTATAATTAATGGTTGGAATAAGAAAACTTAGCGTTTCATATAAATACCAAGTACTGGTTTTCTTTGCTTTGGTTGCACTGCCACTTGCAGTATATGTATTTTGTATACCATACTCTTTGACGAATCGATCTCTCAAATGTTTCCATTTACCTTGACTTATACCAGGATCTGTACCTATAATACACAGTTTTAATTAAAGCTTATATAATGTACTATAAATATATACATATAAATGTACTTTTTACATTTTACACAATGCAATTTTAATTTTTCTTGGAGCAAAAACTATAGTTACAAGATAACGCAATACAATAATATTAACTTTACCTAAACAAGTATCTACTTGAGCCCATAATAATTTCATGTCAGCTGGGCCTCTTTGTTTGTATGGAAGCTTTGAATTCCATAATGGTTCTCTTATGAAAACCTCTGATATAAGTCTTTCTGTCAAATCACTATCGTTGTGACCTTTGTTCTTAGTGTTATCATTATTCTCTAAGTATTCAGTAGTGTTATTATTATTATTCTCTATAATACCATCTGTTGTACTATTATCATAATCACAGATATGATCTTCTTCGACTATAAACTTGCAGATATTGCACTGTAAATAAGATAGATAATATGCTGTAAATTTAATTTTACTAATATAGCACAAAGACTTGAAATATAATTATTACAAATGTGTTTGTAAATATATGTATAATATACATATGTGTACATATACATACATGAACAGTCATGCATATATACATGCACGGTTGTTCATGTATATATGTATATATACATGTTGGCTGTGTTTCAGCAGAGACAATAACTGTATAAAATAATTGGTATAGGTATGTTTTTAATTTGGACTGAAGCTGAGAGCATACATCAATAATTAGATTTATGAATTTTATAATAGTTACAGTTTTCTCTGCTGATTATAGCCATTATTTATCCATCTCAGTTTTTTTGTAATGTGCAGGTTTGTGAATGTTTTTTTCAAGTTAACTATGTGCTATTACTAATGTTATGTTAACAATTTTCTAAGTTATTCTAATTATATATCTAATTTAAAGAATAAAATAAATTTTCGCCAGTAATAAAATAAAATCAGTGTTTAATGATCGGCCTGACTGGCAATATATTAAAAATTATAACGACGTTTTGACCTCTATTTTGGGTCCTTATCAAGTTTATGATGGATCAATGTGCGTCAAACAATTTTATATTGATTAATTTTATATTGTTTGACGCACATTGATCCATCATAAACTTGATAAGGACCCAAAATAGAGGTCGGAACGTCGTTATAATTTTTAATATATTGCCAGTCAGGCCGATCATTAAACACTGATTATATCTAATTTAATTATGTAACCTATTATCAGTATATAATAGGTTACATAATTAGATTAGACGTGCAATAACATTAATTTGGAAAAAGTTTATCAATCCATATAACCTCTAAATATAAAGGAACTGAGAAGGATATATAATATAATGTACATATATATTATTTGTTCGACATATATTAAGTACTAATGTTTTTTTTACTTACCATCAATAAATAGTCATCTGCTTGGTCATCCATTTTAATAATAAAAATTTCTCTTTAGCTTCGATTAAACTCAGCATAAATTATTCCCGGTATTCACTACCAGTATTGAAAAAATATATAGTATATACATATCCCTTCGTCCCACTAGGTTTTTTTGGTACCTTTACGCCGCATAGGTGGGTCGTTTTCGTCTTGACGTTTTTTTTAAGTGTTAAAGTGTTACAAAAAATCTGAAAAAATTCATGAAGGTAATTCAAACCTTCAATTTGAAGTATCAATCATAAAATTATAAGCAATTTAATTTTTTCACATATTTTTTATTTAAGAAATGGAGCAACTACAACTACAACTTGTAAAATCATCTTTTACTAAAAAAATCATAACTTTAAGACAAATAAAGATATCAAAATGAATAAAAAAAGAAATTGAAGGGGAAAAACGTACCTTTCATAAAAAAAATATTGCATGCAATTATTTTGAAATGAAGTGCTTAAGTGTTCGCCGCCAACCTCGTTTTTTCAAGAATTACGTGTCTCCTGTGACGGCTGGAGGGGGTCTGGCGCCTTGAAACTCGGTAGGCGGATTCTCGGGGAGCATAACTTTTTTTACGGATGCGCAGTGGCGCCATTTCTACGCGTTTGCAAAAGTTACAACTACATTTGATTTTTGCCCGGACGAAAACGACCCACCTAGTGGGACGAAGGGATATAATTATGTAATAAACTATAAAATTTTCAATACTGGCAGTAAATATCAAAACATAACCTATAGGCTCCTGCACACAGGACGAGCCATTACATCTTCCTTCGTCACAGAACGCAATAACGCATTGCCGCGTGACGCCGCGCGACAAAAGTTGGATTGCATTCAACTTTTGTCGCGCGGCGGCACGCGGCAAAAATTATATATCTATTACTTCCGGAAAAGCAAGACGATGATTGGTCACCGCGCTGCCGCGTTGCCGCATTGCCGCGCTGCCGCGTCCTGTGTGCAGGAGCCATTAGACGGGTGAGCGCGCCAGCGCCGCAGCGAAAAGCGTCTGTAGCGATGGCGGAGGGAGCAGTAGCAGAGCAGCAGTCACCCGTGGATCCTCCAGGGACCTCGATAGGGCAAATCTTTACGTTGCTGAGGGAGGTGGACCACCCGCCCGACGAGGAGTTTATGAGTCCGTCTACCGGCTCGTATTCTGGGGAGTATTCCCCGATTCGTTTTTAGGTGAACGAGCGACGATCGAACGAGCGGGAAGCTGAGCAGAGGACTATTCTTCCTTGTTAATCCCGCGACTATACATTATTTACTTTGACTCATTTCTTTTGCGCGTGCGATAAATAAACCCATATGGCGTTGTTTGAAGTTGAAAGAGAAAGAGAGAGAGAGATTGTGTTATTCTTTTTTGCGGCCATCTGTGACGGTTGTAATACAATAGGTTGCCGCGCATTCTACGTAGTTCTCGGAAAAAGCGCGCGAGCGGCGCCGACAACGTTGCGTCCCAGGCGGCGAAGCGCGTGTTTACCGCGCATGCTTGAGCATGTTGGGAGGGGCGCGCAGCCCGGCCGAACGAGCATTCGTTATCCAGATCTCGAGCGCGATACATCGTGCGTTATATCTAAGTTCGATACATAATTGCGTCATCTTTTCGTCTCATTTCGCGATAAAGTTGTGCGGTCGCTGAAATCTGCCTATTCGTGTGCATTAAGAATATAACTATTTATCATACATCAATTAACGTGGTTGATACGGACAACTACGATCGTCACCGAGAGGAAGCCAGTGAGATACGTCCCGGCGAGCCATGCCGGCACGTGGAACGAAGGAAGGAAGCCATTTTCTGGAATGTTCGAGAAAGCCTTTCCGTGCCTGATACTAGAAGTCATCGAGGAACTCAGATATACTCAAGGTTAAACGTATCTAAGGACTCAGATATACTCAAGGTTAAACTCATCAATTCCAAGGTAACCGTTTGAGCACGGGCGTTAGAATTTCACCTAACGTTATTCAAGGGATCCGCAAGGTTACAAATTGGAAACTTGCTAAATTCAGAGAGCAAGTTTAACTAATTTGATGTGTAAATTTATTTCGAGTCATTTGTAATACTGAGCTCAGTCTAAAGTAAAGTCAATAATTAATTCTTCGGTTTCAACCATTTCATTTCATTTCAGTTACAATGAAAACCTTTATTTCTTTCTTTTGTGCGTCTATTTCATTGTAATTGATTATACAATATCTCTTATTGTTCATTGCGTTACTTTGCGAACATTCTTTACATTCACTTGTAATACGTATTCAATTAAAATGCGTTCTTTGCGAATTATATAAATCGTCTCTTGCGTGATGATAAAACTACCGAGTATTCGTTTCCGTGCGTTGCTATAAAAGTTATTTCTCATTGACTTGATAATTATTCTACTAAGTAATTTGCGAATTCTGACTTATTGAATGTTGTGTTCATACTAAAGTGAATTAATGTGTCAATGAAAACCATAATGCCTAAGAATATGAGAAATTGAGAAATTCTTATACTTTATTTTCTTTTACTGAATACATGATTTTGCTGAAAATGAGTCATTCGTTCAAGAACAAACAGTCTATATATGGTAAATCGTAAAAGGTCAATTAAATTAATTATTATAAAAATTCAAAGATTGATACATTATTTCAGTGATTATTTCAATTATGTTTGAAGTGAATTTTATATTCTGATTGATGTGCATGAATAATTGAACAGTCCTTTCTTGATATTACGTGATTTGTTTTATTTTGACTACGTCAAGAGAAATTATGAGCTTACATATTATTAATATTCCCTTGATAATGAACCTGATTACATAACAAAGAAATGCATCAGTGAATGCAATTATATTTTGCCATAAATAAAAGGAAAAGACTGTACTATAATAACCATTTATTTGTATCTTTTATGTGTTTTATACATTTATTGTATTTCTATTGTCTTTTATATTACTTATGTATAATTTTGTTCACGAATACTGGGAAGGTTTTCGGGCAGTTTCCCTTCTCCTATGCAACAAATGTTGGTATTCTTTGTATAGGTCTGCCCAATCTAGCCATTTCAAATTACATAAATTACTAAACGCAATTTCTCTCTCAATAAACAGATTCTTATTATTTGTTTCTTCTTCATCTAATTCTAGAGTTCAGGCTTGTGCGCGAGCTTGTGCAAACAGGCGTTAATTCTCTTTATTTTGCGTATCGCATATTCATTTACGGGAGTCAGCGGACCCCAAGAAGCCCATATGGCTTAGCGTTTTCTTGCCCATATAGCACTTCATTTTGATAGTCTTAAGTTGCGTATTGACCCGCATACGTGTTACCTTCGTTAGAAGCGTCGAACAGGCCGATTCCAACATTTTCATTTTCGTTTGACTAGCTCACACGAGATAGACATAAGTTTATTTAGTTCATTGCAAACGCGCGCGGAACGGCGATTAGAGCGCGCGAAATAAGCTTGAGCTACACCAATCTCCAGAAAGGCGAACACGCCCGTAAAAGCGGCGTCGCCATAGTTAGAGGGAGCCAGGACTTCGGAGCGTCGATGTCCTTGCCGCGAATAGAGGTCGGGACTGTAATGCGAGTTGTAGGGAGCAGCATATCTGTCTCTCTTCCGATTGGTCAGCTCCCTCTCCTGCGCTAGCAAGAGAGGTGGAGAGTTACGAGGTTGGCAGAACTGAGTTACGACGACCGTTAGAATTGTACTGACTCTCGTGGCTATTGCGTGGTCTGCAATAAAGTATTATATTATCAGCAGTAATCGAGTGTGTAATTATTCCTCGATACCTCTCGTCAAGACGTCGGTAGTAGGCCGACACCCGGAGGCATAATCGACCTCCTGTGGTACCAAATACCTACATTGGTGACCCCGACTAAAAAAACACGCAACGGTTCTTGCACAAATTGCTACCGGAAGCCCGAGTCAGAGATAAATCCTCGTGTGGACCAGACTTCCCCGAGGAACGGACGCAGAAGTAGCGGATTGAACTACCCGCAGCTGCAAGGTACATTTCCGTGCCGCGTCCCTGGCTGTTATTTGCCCACGCTGCGGCCAGCCAGCCTTGCCGCGCCGAAACATTATTCGGGCGGCCATCTTTTTTGCCGCGCTTTTTTCACGAGGCACGAGGCGGGCACGTAAGACTCTACCGGCGCCCGGGTGGCCACAGCGGTTCTACCGTCTTGTTACCACGACCATCTCCTGGTGTGCGACCGGCCCTTCTCCACCCCCGCCGTTACCGCCTTCTCCTGGTTGCGACCGGCCTTCCTTTGCCGGTGCCACGGATCAACAACGTCGTTATCGCCTCATCGCTGTGATTGCGTGAAGCCAACGACACCGGCGCCTTGGATTCCCTCGCTGTTGAGACATTTAATGCGTGAAGCCAACGTCTCCGGCGCCTTGGGTTCTATCGTCACCGGGGCTTTGGATTCTACCCACCATTTACCCGGCTATAATAATGTAAAGTAAGATAATAATCCGCCGGGCACCGTCATTTATATCGTATAACGCTCGTGTCGTTTAACGCTCTTGTGTCGCTAATATCTTACACCAAATTTTAAACAATGTCGAACGCAGCTCTTACAGCCGCCCAAGCCCGCGCGGAAGAAGCGGAAAACCAGCTCGCGCAATCACAAGCCCAGCTCGCACAATTACAAACCCAGTTCACGCAATTACAAGACCAGTTTGCGCAAATGCGTACCCAGTGGAGTGATCAGGGCCTTGATACAGTTAATTCAAACGCGATTAATAATAACATTCAAATTCCGCGTATAGATAATTACAGGGTTCCCAAGATTCCTCCGTTTTCTCAAGTCGACCCAGAATTATGGTTCATTTAGGCCGAACTTTCCATGAGAAACGCACGAATTACCGTTCAGTCCACTATGGCCGATACCGTACTCGCCGCACTTGATGTTGAAGTATTGAATTGTGTAAGGGACATAATTAAATTAAGACCTACCCCAGAGGATATTTATGAACAGGTTAAAGCCCGAATTATCGCGACGTACGCGCCTTCGGATGAAACAAAACTACGAAAACTTTTAAGGGGACAAGTCGGGACCGATGGAAAGCCTTCGCTAATCCTCAGCCGATTGCGTGGTCTTAATGGCGGGAATGT